GCCCTCACCCCTGCCCCTCTGCCCCCAGTACTTCGTCACCAGGAACTACTCCACCCTCATCGCCTTCGCCGTCGGCGGCCAGTTCCAGCCTGGGAATGGGTTCAGCCTGCTGGGGGCCCACACCGACAGCCCCTGCCTCAGGGTAAGGCCAGCCGGCCGGCCGGGTGCCTTCCCCCGGAGCTGGGGCCTCCTCTGGTGCCCTCCAGTTTCATTCCACAAGCAAAATCCACCCTGACTTCCCCTGTGCCCCGCAGCACCGTTGCCGGGTCCCTGCACCTCCCAAATCTGCCACCCAGGGCAGCCCATGCTGACCCCCTGCATTGCTCCACCTGCGGGTGTTGCCTCTGTGTCCCCTGTCCCACAAAGCGCCTCACAGCACCCTGTGCTGACAGGATCAGTGATGAGACTCTGGACGAGCTCTGCCCAGTCCCCACCAGTTACCCAGTCCCTGGAGCTTTGTGGTGCTGGCAGTGACACCTCTGCTCTCGCCCAGGTGAAGCGGCGCTCTAAGCGGGGGCAGGTGGGCATGGTGCAGGTCGGTGTGGAGACCTACGGAGGGGGCATCTGGAACACCTGGTTTGACCGTGACCTTACTGTGGCCGGGAGGGTGATCATAAAGGTGAGCCTGATTTGGGACAGGTATGGTGGGCTAGCTGTGTGCCCCCGGCTCTGGGGCTGTGACTCCCACCCAGACTAGAACTTACCGCAACCTCTCAGCCCTGCAGGCCTGGCTCCAGCAGTCCTCCTTGTGTTTCAGGACCCGGCCACGGGGCGCCTGGAGCAGCGCCTGGTACGTGTGGAGCGGCCCGTCCTCCGCATTCCCCACCTGGCCATCCATCTGCAGCGCAGCATCAATGAGAACTTCGGGCCCAACACCGAGCACCACCTGTAAGGCCTGTCTCGGCCCTGACCCCTGGCCAGCCCTCGGGGAGGGCTGGGACCCAGCTGGAGCGGTCCCCAGCCTCAGCTCTCTCCCTTTGGCAGCCGCTCATCGCAATGGGGAGGTCTGCAATGGCTTTTCTTAGCCCCATAGAGTCCTCCCAGGAGATGCTTCCAAACTTGAGACTTGGGAAAGGACACTGGGGTGTCCTGAGGTGACACAATAGATCTGTGCTTGAAATGTTGTGTGTCCTTCCTCCGTTCGGCATGGCAATCACTCCTGGAGGAGCAAGGCAGGCACCCCAGGAAGGGTTGGTTTTGTGTGACCCAGGCAGGACAGGTGAGCAAAGCCCTGGGAGCTAATGGCACCATCTCCCCACAGGGTTCCCATTCTGGCCACTGCTGTGCAGGAGGAGCTGGAAAAGGAGGTGCTCATGGAGGCCATACCTTGCGATGCTGCGGCCCAGGTGAGCCGGGTGCCAAGGACTAGCAGGGGCGCTTGCTAGGACCTCACTCTTGTCACCTTTGATTTCCAGTCCTCGGGGACCTGCCAGCAGGTTCCCCTTCACCTTCTCCCCATGGACTGCTGGTAACCTTCCACTCTTCCCACTGCTCTGAGAGCTGTGTACACGACACATCTGCTCAGCCATCTCTCTGTTCCCACCCTGGTCTGCAGCCATCGTATATAGAAGGGGGTGCAGCCCCCGTAAAGCTGCCACAGTCTCCCTGGGGAGGCAGGGCAGGGAGGAGGGATTGCACAGGGGGCAGAGAGCCCCTCGCTGTGCCCTGTGAATGGCCTTGCTGTCCTCTGTGAGGTGGGGGCTTGAACACGGGACGTGTTAGTAGGAGGGAGGACTGTGCCAACGTGAGTGGGGTGTGGAACGGCTCTGCCAGAGGGAACAGGGAGTTTCCCCTGCCATCCACTGCCTGCCCTGCCCGCAGCTCTGCTTTCTTCCCAGGCAGAGCGGCACAGCCCTGTCCTGCTTTCCCTGCTCTGCCCCCAGCTGGGGGTGAAACCAGAGCAGATTGTGGAGCTGGAACTATGCCTGGCGGATACGCAGCCAGCGGTGAGTAAGGGCAGGAGCCTCCCTCTGCCTGCACACAGCCTGTAGGCTGGCACTGCACGGGTTTTACCAGGCACGCTTCCTCTGCCTGGGGCGTACCAGGGCTGGGAGCTGAGCGGAATGAGAGGAGGCGGCTCCTGAGGGGCAGAGATGAGGGGGTTGGAATGGGGACCCAGTGGCAGGTACTTTTTGGTGACCCAGAGCCTGTGCCCTGCTCCTCCTGGCTCTCTGCCTGCAGACGCTGGGTGGTGCCTTCGACGAGTTCATCTTCTCCCCACGCCTGGACAACCTGCACAGCTGCTACTGCGCCCTGCAGGTGAGCAAGAGGGGCAAAGGAGCATGGAGGCCGCAGCGTGGCCCCCGCACACCCCGGCTTGGCTTAGCGGGGCTGTGGGCTGGCCCGAGGCTCTGCAGGGAGGTGTGTTCCTATGGGGTGGGTCTGGTTTGTTGGAGGATCTGGGGTTGGATGGGGGCTCCCCCCTTTGCTGGGTGTGTGGAGTTCCCAGCAGCTCCCAGGGGTGACTCCTGCTCTCGCTGGGCAATGTGTGTGCCCACAGCTCCCTTCCTCGGTGCTTTGGGCTCTCCTGGGGAAGTTCCTGCTGGCTCAGTGCTGAGCTTCCCGGGACCGGCTGGCACTCAACTGGTATCCTTTCTCCTCTAACCCTGCAGGCCTTGATAGACTCGTGCGCAGCGCCCTCCTCCCTCTCCCAGGAGCCCAATGTGCGTCTCATTGCGCTCTATGACAACGAGGAGGTGAGCGAGGGGTGCAGCCGTGGGGTGTCTAGCACAGGGAGTGGCTCCATGTTCTTTGCTCTCCCCCAGCCGTGCCTAGCAGGAGATAGATCCCAGGCCCCAGCATGGCAAGAGGGGGTTTG